ATTAGATCTTTGATTTGTAAATTTAAAACAAAGTTTCGACACTGGTATTAATCCCAATTCTTATCTTTTATTACTGGTAGTTTTCAACTCAGCCCGTCACTAGTTGGTAGTTTTTGAACCAATTCTTTCGCACTGTAGTTTAGATCATTACCTATTAAAATTTTTGTTTGAAAAAAAAAAGGTTGTTTTTACATATAGTTTTATATCTAAACTACTAAAAAAAGAGAGAGAGAACCTTCGTAACTGGTTTTAATCTTGCCTTTTGGAAGTCTAGTTAGAATTTAAAAAAAGATCGTTACTAGAATTTAAAAAGATTTTCGCTTCTGGAATATTCTATCGGTTTTTTGTCGATCTAGAAATCCGTTTATTCTATTTTTAGATTTTCTTAGTCCTGCGGGTTTTTTTCACTTTTTATAGATTTTTTATTATATAATTAGGTCTTGTGACTTATACCAAATTTTTTTATTGAATATATATCTATTTAAAAATCACATAAAAAATTTTTTCAAAAATTGTCAAAATGGGCTGTTTTAATATGAGGCACCTCATATATTTTATTAGTGTAATGGGACGTGTTTGGTTTAGGTTGCCTGTGAATATTGCTTTTTTTGATATAGGGTATATTGTACTATGTTTCCATGTAGTGGGTATATCGTGTAGTGACAAACAGTTGTTGAGTATATCTAGAATTGTAGTTTTTGCTCGAGGGTCTAGGTGTTTTAACATTTTGTTTGATATCTTTGAGGGTCTGGTGGCCTTTGTATTAGGTGCTTCTTTGATTGTGGTCTCTAGTTTGTGAGGTGTAATCTTTGTTGTAGTTGTGTTATACTATGTTGGGTCAATCATTTGGATAGGTTTGTATTCTTCTGCCCATTCTTGCTATAGTTCTATTTAGGTAGGATTTAGCTTCATCCAGTTTTTGAAATATTTCTGTATTGCTATTTTGATCTCCTGAGGTTCTGTAATTATGTTGTCTAGTGTACAGATATTATATAATATGACAGGATCTATATGTTTTTTGAGTATACTTTTTATCATTTTGGATGTATTGTTTTGGAAGTTTAGGTATCTTCTTTTGATGCAGTTCTTTATGTGTTAGTTTTTTGCTATTTGGTTTTCAATATTTTTTGCTATTTTGATCTGTTGTTGGGTTGTCTTGAGTATTTTATCTATTTCTTCAGCTGTTGTGTTAGGTTGTATTTGTATTTGTGTATCTGTTAGATTATTGATTTGTTGTATAAGGTTGTGTATTAGATCAGTATTTGATGCTTGTTTATGTATACTTATATGTCTTCGTACTTTGTTTGTATATGTTAATGTCTTGTGTAGTTTGGTAGCAGTAGAAGAGAATAGATGA